TGGGTTGCCGGCCGGACCTGTGGGCTCGTCGCTGCAGCTTCCTGGAGGCTCTGCATTGTGGTGGCTGGGGTCACCCGGTTCTTTCCTCTGCTCCTCTCTGGGGGGGTGCGGTTCTCCCTGTTGGGAGACTCCTGGGGCTCCGGGCCTGTGGGCCGCTGTGTGTCTGTGGCTCCGGTCCTCCCTATGTTGCCATTGTGTCCTGGGGGGGCGGGTCTGTGGGCTCCCGCGTCCACTATTGGGCATTCTTTTGGAGAAATCTGGTGGTGGCGGGCGTGCTTGCGCGGGTGTTTGGATTCAGGTGCTTTGACAGATGCACGCTAGGTTGGGTAGTGGTGGAAGCTAGATGATTCCTTGTGCGATGTCGAATGTTTCATGGTGATATTGTGGGTGGCATTGTGCTGTGCATGTTGTTTTGTCATGGTGGTCTCTCGTTTTATCTATTTCTCTTTTATTTATTTATTTATTTATTTATTTATTTATTTATTTATTTATTCTTCTTTCTTCTTTTTCTTTAAAAAAAAATAAAATTGAGCGATGATGATAAGTTCATTGAAACACTTCACAAGGTTTCTACACTTAAACTGAGCTCAAAAAAAAAAAAAAAAGACCAGTTTCTTATGTACAGCCTGGCAAGTGCCAGAAGGAACTTGAAAGGGTCGGCGGGAAAAGGAGGAGCAATACAAATACATAACACACCATAAATAACAAGCAAATGAAAGAAGCATAAAAACAAACAATAATACAAAACTCTTAATAGAAATTAAATCATTAAAAACAAAATATTACTAAGGGATAAAACATTTACAAGTGTCTTTAAAGAAGGTGTTCAAACACCTGGGTTGGGTGGCCAGTTTTCATTATGTCGGTGGACATCTTGGATTTTGACGTGGCAACCCTGCACCTAGATGAAGCCACACACCAAAACGGAAGTCGGCATGTTGCTTATTTTTCTGATTATCCAGCACACAATATGGACAATCCCCCTCTTTTGTCCTCTGCTCCACAACAGAGGACCAAAGGGCAACAACTTGGTCATTCTTACAGTGAACTAAAGTTTGGTGTGGTAGTAGTTGCGAGTGATTCCAAACATTTTCCTAGGTGGACCAAAACTGTCTAGATGAAAGGACTCGAGGGCCAGAAAAATCAGAATTCAAGAAAACAATAGTTTTTAAAGCGTGATTTTTTTTTCTCTTCATTTTTTAACAACTTATTAAAAGTTCAAATTCTTGTAGATCCAGAACATTAGGAGCCTCATAAACATTAACCGTTTTTTAAAAGAATTGAATTCATTAATTTTTTTGGGGGACTATTATTTGTTTTCTTGTGCTTTGAAAGTTCATTTTTGTTTATTTTCATAGGCAAAAGCCAAAAACAAGTTATTAAAAAAAAGGGGATGGAACTTCAAACACCTGTTTGTACCATAGACGGCCCAAATGGGTCATCAAAGTTCTGAAAACCAGCTGGCAGCTGCTAAAACAGATTCACAGAAGGTCTGAAGGGACACTGATAAAGATGATCAACTTGTATGTCGATGATACCACGTACTCTTTTAAAATGTCCAATTTCTCCCCATCGATTATTAAATCAACTGAAATTATTTTCTTTGAAAACACTTGTTATATTTAGCCAAGTTTTACGAATTATTATCAAAATTCTACTTTTTGGAGGTCAGTGAAGATTGTTGTAGGATAAAGGGATTAATTATAGCTAAATTTTTGTTTTGTACTTAATTTTACTAACTTTGAGAAGATTATTTTCATCTGTTGTGCTGTTAAACCTAAAAGTTAACAAAATATTAGCATTAAATCTAAAGAAGGTCTACATCTGCATCAACCTCTTAAGATTGTGGGTCAAAATTATCCCATTCTTTTTTTGCAGTCGAGGGCCACACAAAATCACGCCAAGGGCCGCAAATGGCCCTCGGGCCACACTTTGGACACCCCTGTCTTAACATGTCATACGAGATTGTGCAAAATATCTTTTTCAAGGTTTGTCTCATTTGTATAGCACTCTGGTTTCCTTCTCATCATAGATCATCGTAGATCATCATAGAGCATCACCAATGCTCGGCCTTCAATGTACTTTAGCTTAAAATTATAATTTCACCCACCTGCTGTCAGAAGGAATGTGTCCCCAGTTGAGTCTCCAGGAGATCATGGGTGTGGGAACTCCAACAGCCTGACAGGTGAAGGTCACAGTCGAGCCCTGGGCTGCCTGGATGGACTCTGGGGGGCTTATTACAGAGGGCGGGGCTGTATCATGTCAAGCGGACAAAAATGGTTTTAATCACATGATAAATGTACAAAAAGGCTGTAATGTGACTGGAAGTTGAGGATCCAGTAAGGTTCATAAAAATGATTCTATGCTGTGAACAATTTATTTTAAATTCTCACTAACAGCCACTACAAGCAAAGTTTTGCATCTCAGTCGTGCGAGAAGAGCCTGGTTTCACAGCAAGTTAGTTACAGATATCAAAAGAAGGTCAGAGCAGCAACGTGTCGATAGAGAGGAACAAACTGTGCATCAGGGTCAAAGAAAGACTGAGAGCAGAGCTGCTGGTGGGAGACTTACTGCAGCCATACTCATCAGAGCGGTCGGGACAGTCCGACTCTTCATCGCACTGGTAACTGGCTGGGATGCAGGTGCGATCAGTCTGACACTCGAACTGCTCAGGGCCACATCTGTCATTAGGACCCTTGGTCGCTGTAACAACAAAAAGACGGGAGATGATTAGCACCTTCTCAGTCACTTTTTGCAGCAGGAGACATAAAACTTCCAAACTAAAGTTAAGTTTGTGGAATATCTGCTTACAAGTATGTCTTCAAAGTATGTAGCATACGGTGCAAACAGTCCCTAACTCATGTTTATAAAAGACTTACGGCAGTCTGACTCATCAGAGTTATCTTCACAGTCCTTGTCACCATCACAACGCCAGATCTTGAGGGCGCAGTGACCATTTTTACACTTAAACTCATTGGGCTCACAGGGAGACTGAGTTCCTGTAAAACAAAACAGAGTTGGGCATGGGCTGGTTTCTGGGTTAAACATTTATCGTGGTGTTAAAAGGACATGATGCCAAAATCAATCATTTTATCATCCTCCTGTTTCTGTGCCTTCAATAACTTTGAATTGTCAAAATTGGAGAAAGGTTTTCTCTACTTAGCACATGAACCGTGCACACTCTAACACTAGACCATGAGTCCTGCTGTCGACAATTGAAGCCACAAACTCTTTAATGGTTGCTGTACATGTTGTATCATGGGGACCAGAGTCTGTGTATCGGGGGTGTGAGGCTTTAAGCTGGGTGTAACTGGGACCTTGAGTTCCATCTCATGTACCACAGGTGATGTGAATGACAATAAACTTGGCTTGACTTTAAACCTGTACTGGGACCAGCCTACATAGAAACTGGATCTGGTCAAGCTTTAACTTCCAGGTTTCCAGTGAACATCTAGATTTCTTCTATGGTTGACGTTTTAGCTAAAAGCTAATCTGCCCATCCCCCACCTGTTCCTGTGAGCTGTCAATCAGTTCTATGACCAAAAAGGATAATTGTCTTAAACACTTGCTAATAAAAGAAAATTTAATAAAATTGTAGGTGTGGGGGAGCAGGTGAAAACAAAACCAGTCCTAGCCTGTGTATCAGATTAAATTCTTCTTGTGCTTTAAGGTAACTTTAAGTTAGCAACAAGCTACAAAGGTTAGCATGTGTACCAGTCTAATAAACAGCTGAGTAACCTGTTCAGCTCCATGTGTTACTTTACAAAGAGCAAATATTCTGCGCAATTAAGACACCTATGTGTACAACTTTACCAAAAACATCTCTTATAATATATTTAAATAAAAGTAATACTGTTATATTAAATATTACTATATTATACTTTTGCTAATCATTCATGTGATACATTTTAACTTTTTGTTTTAACACCATCATAACGCGAACCATTAGTTTTTTTGTTTAAGGTTTTCACAACATCTGAACTTTATACCTTTATACTTATATACTGTGATGAGAGTATTGACTCGGGACATTAGGGAAGGAACAGAAAATGTATTATTGTTGACCTGATTGAATGTTTTCCATTTGAGTATTTTTTGTAGAATAATGTGAATTTAAGTGTAAGATTTTTTTGTAGTCTAACTTTCATAAAAATGAGTGAATAGATCAGCTAACGCTGTGTCTTATGTATTTAGGTCTTTATATCCAAACGTTGTATTTTACCCCACACCTTGTTTACAATATATTGGTGCAAATTTGCATAATTTACTGCCCAAATGTTTCACTGTGCTCTGATTTCCTATATATGATGTATAAATACAAAACAAAAAAGTGGCAGATGTACTGTATTTCAGTGCTAACAATGAATAAGAAACAACAGTTTAAATTGTCCCTGAACGCATCGTGACGTTTCTTCTCAGTTTGCACTTTTCACACTGATGTAGATCCAGTCCTCCAGACTTTTGGTTTAAACATTATAAAAGTTCAAGTTTCTTTTTGGTTTGTTCACAACTAAAGTGACTTTGAGGATGTTTTCCTTTGAATGCAGCCCACATCTGGGAGCGGGCTGCAGATGATTTGCGATGATTTGTACTCACATTCTTCTTATGACCCTGTTAAAAAGGAGCCCCTGCAGTTTTTCCCACATGTAGCAACACTTAATGAAAGTCACTTTTTTGGGAAACCATTCATTATCCCTGGCTAACTGGATCAGTTTCTGGATGCTAACAGCAACTCTTACGTACCGCACGCGACCTCATCGCTGCCGTCTGCGCAGTCCTTGACTCCATCACATATAAGGTTTCGGTTCACACATTCCCCACTTTGACACTTGGCTTGATCTGATCTGCAGGGTGAAAATGGGAAGGGGGGCTGGGGGCCCAGTACCGCAGCTGATGTGGTGGTAGTGGTGGCGGGTGTGGTGAAGGCAGGCACGGTGGCTCTTTGCAAATCTAGAACAAACCTTTGATTATATTTAGCGATACCCCAAGGTGTCACAATGAGCGATCGCGGTGCACGACAAACAAGCAGGACACCAAGCTGAACGAGGATGAAGCCGCTCACCACAGTTGAGCTCATCACTCATGTCTCCACAGTCCAGTCTGTTGTCACACAGGTATTCTTTCAGGATGCATGTTTTATCACCACACTGGAACTCATCAGCCATACACGGTCTTCTGGAAGGGATTACTATGAGACACGCAGGGGGAAGGAGGGGAGAGGGAAGTCGAAGGATCAAAAACATGCAAGCCAACAATACCTGCTGCCAGTACACTACTCTGATGTCATATCAGAGCACAAATCACACACAAGCAGATGAAAATCAAGCACATCCTCCAGCAGGAACAACTCAGGCAAGATGCAAGGCCTTGCTGAAGGAGCACTTCCAGATGATCAGTGGGGTTTACAATAAAATGTTTCAAACTGCAAATACTGCCTTAAATGTACAACTCAATGTGTTTTTGAGACTTTCATTTTGCAATAATCAAAGGTGATCATGCAAATGTTGTGATGTATAAACTGCAAGTGATGTATAGAGAGCAAAGAGCAAAACAAATCTTCGACCTGCTGCCTGAGGCTCTTTAGGATCACCATGGTAACTTCACACCTGTGTGTCTCACTCCCTGTCAGTATATTAACAAGACAGGCAAGTCTTATTGGAAAACTCCTCAACTCAAAGAGGCAAAAGCATTACTTTTTATGTACTTATAGTGTTTTACATAAACTTTAAAAAGCCCCTTTACTTCCAGTTTTGAAAATAAAATGTTAAGCTCAAAGTTAATGGAAGTTAATGGAAGCTTTGGTATGCACTTTCTGCAAACTGTAGAGATTTAATAACTCCTATAACAGTGACAGACATACTGGGTGAATGAAGATAAACATGTTTTGATGTTAAAACTATAAAAAGTGTAGTTTATGAAAATAAAAGTACAGATAATTTGTTTGCAAACATTGTGGAACATTTAGACAGCTCAAACGTTGGTGTTTGGTATCACATGAAGTTTAACATTCTGTGTACCCGGTAATATCCATCCATCCATTCTCTTTCACTTATCCGGGGTTGAGTCGCAAGGGTAGCAGCTTAAGTAGGGAGGCCCAGACTTTCCTCTTCCCAGGCCAGCCGAGAAACATAATCCCTCCAGCGTGTCCTGGGTCTTCCTCTGGGTCTCCTCCCAGTGGGACATGTTTGGAACACCTCACCAGGGAAGCATCCAGGAGGCATCCTAACCAGATGCCCGAGCCATCTCAACTGGCTCCTCTCGATGTGGAGAAGCAGCGGCTCTACTCTGAGTCCCTCCCGGATGATCGAGCTTCTCACCCTATCTCTAAGGGAGAGCCCAGACACCCTGCGGAGAAAACTCATTTCGGCCGCCTGTATCTGTGATCTTGTTCTTTCTGTCACAACCCAAAGCTCATGACCATAGATGAGGGTAGGAGATCGACCGGTAAATTGAGAGCTTCACCTTTTGACTCAGCTCTCTCTTCACCACAACAGACCGGTACAGCGCCCGCTTCACTGCCGACGCTGCACCTATCCACCTATCGACCTCACGGTCCATTTTCCCCTCATTTGTGAACAAGATCCCGAGATACTTGAACTCCTCCACTTGGGGCAGGACCTCCTCCCTGACCCGGAGAGGGCACTCTACCCTTTTCTGCCTCAAGATCATGGCCTCGGATTTATAGGAACTGATCCTCATCCCGGCCGCGTCACACTCGGCAAACCGCTCCAGCGAAAGCTGTAGATCTCGACCTGATGAAGCCAATAGGACCACATCATCTGCAAAAAACAGAGAAGCGATCCTAAAGCCACCAGAACGGATCTCCTCAACACCTTGGCTGCACCTAGAAATTCTGTCCATAAAAGTTATGAACAGAATCGGTGAAAATGGTAATAATCTTCAGAAAATATAACACTTAAACTTTGTGGAAAATACTGTTAAACATATTTAAAGCAGGGTGTCTGCAGTAAAGAGCTCCAATAAGGGCTGGGTTTCCTCACTCATTTTACCAAAATCTCATTGCTGCCTGTGGAGGGTTTCTTCAGTTTTACTGACTATTGTTTACAACCATTAGCAAAAATCAAAGCAACTTTCTAAGGCATAACTGCATAAAAGTGGATTTTATTTGTTTGGGTTTTCCTTAAGCTGAAGGAAGAAATGTGAATCAGAAATTCAGACAATTACGTAAAAAATAATGGGTGAATATTAACAAGGGCTCATTGGCACTGTTAATTAAAGTTTCTGACCAGTGAGGAAACTGCTGTGTGCTTACACATCTTGCCACAAAGATAAGCCTTACAGGCACACAAATAGATCCAGCACAATGATTAGACTAAAAAGACTAAATTAAGCTCAAGCAAAAAGACCAAAAAAGACTAAACACACAGATGTACCTAGACAAAGTGGACAGAAGTTCAAAGACAAAACACATAAGATTAGATGAAACAACGTATTCGTACTGACCTACAACGACTGTACTTGGCACAAACGGCAGACAGAGCTCATAGACTTCACTAAATAACCTTGACTAAATCTAGGTAGAACACACAGGAGGAGTTTTTACACATGAACATCAGCCAAGCTAAGCTGTGGGTGAGCTGAGCTGTGGGTGAAGGACATTTCAGTAGGCAAGCACTTGCTTCTGTTGACAGGGCGGGGCACACTCTTACTCCCTGGCTTTTGATCCAGTGTAAGTTGATTTAAACTTCACTGTGTTTTTATTATTTTAGTCATTTTGTTTCTTATCTTTACCTCTGTGGATTTAAGTATTTTATCCTGTGTCCTTTGCTTGTTGTTTTGTAGTACAGCACTTTGGTTGGCCTTGTTGCTGTTTGTAAGTGCTTTAAAAATAAAGTGGTACGGTATGGTATGGTATATGTGTAAAATTGGCCATCTTGGAGTTTGACATGGCAACTTAATTTTGATAAAGAAACGTTCTTACTCCTAAATGTAGTCACACACCAAAATGGAAGTTGGTACCTCACTTATTTTTCATGCACAGAACATGCATGAACGGATGGAGGGTATTTCCAATACCCCCTTCATTCACTCCATAACAGGGGACAATAAATCACATTTTCATTTTCATTGTGCTTTGTTGATCTCACTCACTGACTGTGAAATCAAAGTGTGAACAAGTAATTCCCATAAAAAGCCTTGAGCTCATTCTCCCATGTTTATGTGTGAAAATGGCTAAAAATCTCCATCAAGAGAGTAAACATAATGAAGAACTAATCCTTTCAGCTGCCATGCCTGTTTACTGAGCTGGTAGAACTTTACAGAGATCAAAAAGCTGCTTTATAATGCAGTGAATGGGTACATTCCTAATCATAATTGTGTCATGCAAAGTTTCTTTAGATATAGGACCAAAACCAGATCTCTACATTCGTGCTCCCATGCAAAACATTCCTCAAACCGCATGTGCATGTCCTTAGGGCATCCATAAATGTCAACAAAGTCTGAGCACTACAGTCCTACAGTTTTTACAGAGCAGTCGGTTTAATCACCGTGCAGCAGGCATGGTACAAACCTGGCACTGTTCTAGGTTCCACTGTAGACAGAGATTCTACTAGAAATCAAAGAAAAATATTGAGAAAACCATCTAGTGTTCTGACAGGACTTTAATTCACTGAAATTAAAGAGGTCTTACCTTTTCCAAGCCTCCTGAACAGAAAACCCTTGACTGATGTGACGTAGGAAGCAATGGTTCCCTCGTTCACCACGTTGTAAAGCACGCTGCGGATCTGTTCCTCATCGGAGTTGTAATCAGAACCCACGTCCAGTTCCACAAACACATCAACACCATCCTCTCTTATGACTTTTCTGTAACAAACAAAATGACATCATAAGACTTACAGTAGTATTGTGTGGCAGCAAAGGAAAGACTTTCAATCATTTGGATGTTTCTCAGATGATTCACTAATTGCTGATGTATTAGTACAAACCTACTTTAGTTCCATTATGTGAGTTAAGGAAAAATAACCTGGCTAAAACAGGACAAGCATGCAACAGCAACATACAGCTGCAGGGTCTCTACTTTGGGTGTCAGCAGACATGATTTACAAGCTTTATGTTCTTACTTAATGAGGACCACATTGACTGTCTGGACACCTGGAATCTTGTTGTACTCCGACTCCAGCTGTGGAGGGAAAATGAAACTCAGTTACAGTGAGATAAACTAGTCTGAACACTATTTTTAGAACAGCTCACACACAACCTTAAATCGGAAAAATCATAAATAGCACATCAGATCCTTAAAAGGTAACCACAGTCTTAGAAAACAGACTACTATCCAGTGGTGAGTTAAGACGTACCGTGTCCATCACAGCCTCTGAAATCTCCTTGAATTCTTGAGAGAAGATGTCGTCAAGCTCAGGGCTGTACACCACAGAGTCGGTAAAGTTGACAAGAGCTCTGTAATAAACTAGAAACACAGAGGGAAGGGAAAGATGTCAAGCTGAACCACACAATAATAAACAACCACAAGCTCATCACTGGTGTCCATTTGTTGTTGGGTTCAAATATCATAAGCCACAATTTTAAAATAAAGTCTATTTGCATGATTTGATATTGTTAGGATTTTATTTCTCATTGGTGAAATGTTTTAGAATGAAAAGGTTTAAAACCATGACTGAGTCACAAACCAATCACAGGCACCTTCTGCTATCATGTGGTGCTCTAATATCATAACTCAGTTGCTGCTCTAAGTCTTCATCTTTATTGCTTCAAAGCTTTCTTTTTCTTCTGTTGTCGCTTTATTTTGAAGTCTCAATAAAGGTCATATTTAATTCTGTCTATTTTGGTCACTCCTGATGAAAATATTATCTTTATCTCTACCACCTTCAGCTCTGCCTCCTGATCTTTTGCTATTGCCACTGTCACCAAACCATACAAACTGGTCTACTGCCATCTTCTAAACATCCTCTATCACTCTTCCTTTTGTCACAAATTACCCCTGACACTTGTCCACATCCACTCCATCCTGTCTGAACTCTCTTCTTCTCTTCTCATGTGCACTGACAGTTGCTTTGGATGTTTGACCCCAAATACTTAAATCTGTGCACCTTCATTATCTCTACTCCTTCCAGTTTCACTGTTCCACCTGTCTCCCTCTCAGTCATACATATGGATTCTGCATCACTTCTGCTGACTTGCATGCCTCTTCTTCCAAGAGAAGACCTGAACCTCTTCAGACTCTCTTCCGCCTGCTCCCTACTGTCACAACAAATTGCAGCGTTGTCCTCAAATATCATAGTGTATGGGGACTACTGCCTGACTTCATATGCCAACCTGTGTATCACCTTTGCAAGGAAGATGGGAATTTAAAGGCATAAAGACAAAACAGAACAACCTGAAGTGGCGTCAAACATTCAAACGCACAGTTTGTGGAATATCAACCAACACAGCAGGACTGCAGAAGAGCTGGTGTCTTTCTGGGTTTCCTTTATGTTCACAGCAACAGCCTAAATTCAAGTGGTAAAACTGGGACTTGATACGTAATCTGCAAAAGTCAGGGTAATGTATGCCATCATTACAATATAATAGTATCTGTTTTCTTATAATAACTCGTCCTTATTTGCATTAATTGTATATAAAGTATGTGCATGTGTGAAATGTCTAGAGTTAGTGTTCTAGAGCCAATGTGTTTCATGGTAGGTAAAGTCTGGCAATTTCACGAGGCTCCTTATTTAGGATATCCTGATGCATGCTCAATAATGCTCCTTATTTAGGAGTTTTAGCTCAACAATAGAAACTGAAAATGGCTTCTCACCAAATATTTGGGGATCATAGTAACACTTATCAGTATTGTCCTGTCCTTGGTACTAGTCATTTGATTTTATTGTATTAGGTTGAGATACATTCTTATCCCAAGGTGGAATGTCAACTTTTCAAGGTTCAAGGTTTTTATTGTCATTTGTGTCACATGTGGAACATGAGGTGGAACAAAATTGTACACACAGGGTCCCAGGTACACCCCAAAATAGCAAAAATATAAAGTATAAAAAGAAACCTTAAAAAGTTCAATCTGGTCCTCTGGACATTCAAAAAACAAAACCAGAGGACCAGATTTAACTTTTTTAGATTTTTCTGGATTATTGAGCATGCATCAGGATATAAAAAGACACAGTATACAATTATCTACGATATATGCTAAACACAAATAATACAAAATAATACAGTGTATTAAACAGCAGCCTGAACATGAGTCTGCAGTGTGCAGATGTGTATGAATACAGCAGCTTAAAGGCAAGAGATCAGCAGCATGGATAATCAGCAGCACAGATAAAGTGACATATCACCAATTAAAGTGGCATTACAGTGATTCTCCTTCTTTTATCATGTGATTTTCCTGGTTAGATATTTATAAGTCCAACAGCTTCAGGGTAGAAGCTGTTCCTCAGTCTAGTGGTTCTACACTTAATGCTCCTCAACCTCCTGCCTGAGGGGAGCAGGGCAAAAAGTGTGTGTGTGCTGGGTGAGTGGGGTCCTTCATGATGCAGGTGGCCCTCTTCCTGCATCTGGAGGTGTAGATGTCTGTGATGGTGGGGAGACTGACTCCAACAGACTTCTGTGCAGATTTTATTTTGCAGATGATAGTGAAATTTTTAAATAACCTTATTTATATTCAATTTCAAAATCTTTGTAGGATAAAATTATGACATTGTAAATGTATCTAATAATCATATTTAAAGTGACTGACTGCAGCTGATTTTGTATTTTAATTGAGAGGTGAGTAAAAAAAATCTTTAAGTAGGGCGCTCATAGAAACAGTTTTATATTCAGGGCAGGTTATATCAGCACTTTTATTTTTACCACAGGCCTGTTTGTTCCCAGACTGAATGTAATTTTGTTAGAATTTTGTATTTGTACAATGAGTATTAATGTTTGTGCACTGAAATAAGTTATATAATTTATATAAAATGAAATAACAGATTTTTGCAGAGGACATTTCAGATAAGTTGGATTGATTCATAGCCATTGCAGAACTTCACAGGCAGCGGGTCAGTATAACTTCTCCAGAGTCTATATCGCCTCAGTTAAGTGACCTTGGGCAGGGCACTAAACCAGGAAAATTGATACACTTTGGCCGAGTCCACCCTTAAATCACTCTGATAAAATGGAGCGAAAATAAATGGATTTTCTCTTCTTTTAGGCCAATATGAACCTAAATCTGTTCTCTTGAAACCTTCATGAATGAGCAATGCACTGTACACCTGATGTGAAAACTAGGCATAAAATGATCTTTTAGCTGAAATGAAAGAAAAAGAAAGAAAGAAATTCCTGCTGTTAACTTGATCAATCCCAGTGGAGAACAAGCAGCCATAATGGACTTTCATGACCCCATGAAACACAAATTATTGAACCATGACAAAGAATGAACTGTTCTTGAGCTTGTGTTGACCATGGCGATCTTTTCATCACAAGCTTTAGCTAATTACTTTTTCCACTCCTTGTTCAGACAGGCCTATAGACCACCTGTATACAACAGTACAGACGGACAAACTGTGTAACTCATTAAAAGCCCAAATGTCAGCTGTACTATTATAATTCCAATGCCACAGGCTAAGTCCATGCAACCTAAAATAGACCGGGGCTGTGGGGTGCCCCATTCTCCGGCTGACCTGGCACTTTGTGAAAACCGGCCTCTGAACTCAGGCTGGCAGTGAAACTTTAGAGGGAAGGTCAATATTTGTTTCTTACAGTGAGATGTTACTTCAAGTCCCACTTTTAAGTAACCACCTGCTATTTTTTTTTTTGTCATCATCCCCACCCCCACCCCAGTGCAAAAGCTCTTTTGGGGCCTGTCACTGTCCATTTCCTTTTATTCTCCATAACAAGTGGATGTTTGCTGGACACTAACAGTAAACATACATTTAGAGCAAGAAATGTATGGACTATTAACAATTTATAAATAAATCTTGAACTCATGAACATTTCTATTTTTTTGTTGAACATTTGTTTTCTAAAGGCCTAACATATCACCAGATGTCTTGTTTTGGGCTAACTTCACTCAGGAACCATCTTTGTTGATGCTCTTTTTAGACAAATTATCTATCCATCCATTATCTTTACCCACTTCTTCCTTTTTGGGTCGCGGGGGTCTCTAGTGCCCATGTCCAGCGGTCAGTGAGGCGGGGGACACCCTGGACAGGTCTCCAGTCCATCACACGGACACATAGAGTCAAACGAGACAAACAACCATTCACTCTCTCACTCACACCTAGGGATAATTTAAATGGTAAATGGACTGTACTTATTTAGCGCCTTTCTATCTTACTGAGATACTCAAAGCTCTTTACAACACAATCTGTGTCCTCATTTACCCATTCATACAGCACTCTACTAGATCTATACAAAGCTAATTGAACAAATCATTCTAAATAGACTAATCAGAGCTTTATCATATTCATACACTGATGGGACACACATCGGAGGCAACGAGGGGTTCAGTGTCTTGCCCAGGGACACTTCGGCATGTGACTGCTGATGGATTCGAACCCCCAACTCTTGCATTGGAGGACGACTGCTCTAACCACTCAGCCACAGCCGCCCCCACATTACCAATCAGTCTAACATGCATGTTTTTGTTCTGTGGGAGGAAACTGGAGTACTCTGAGAAAACCCACACATGTACAGAGAGAACATGTAAACTCCACCCAGAAAAGTCCCAAGCTGGGATTTGATTCTGTGACCTTCTCACTGAGAAGCAACACCTCTACCAACTGAGCCACTGCACCAAGAATGATGACATGTACAATCACTTATGAGAAAACGAGTCAAAAAGCAGACAAAGTCCAAAGAAAAACTTTGAAAAATCTTCAGAAGGTCTAGAAAAATTACGCTTAAGACCCATCCATCCATCCATCCATCCATTATCTTTTACCCGCTTCTTCCATTTTGGGTCACGGGGGTCCAGCAATCAATGTGCAAGAGGCGGGGTACACCCTGGACAGGTTGCAAGTCCATCACAGGACACTCAAGACCTTTTCTTTTTAAAGATGTCAAGAATGTTGGACTTTTTACAAGGTAATATATAATAAGGAATGACCTAAGACTTCCCCCAGAGCTGTATTTGTGACTTATATCTGTAAAAATACAAAAACTCAATTTGTTCTTAAGTTTTCTTTTAGACTTGATGAGGGCATGTTTACCTCCTGTAGAGTCAGCTTAAAAACTTTTCTGACAAATGATAAAATACTGCTATCACTCACCACAGCTGTCTCTTGATACTAAGCTCATCTTTGCATTTTTTCCACTTTTTAAAGAATGATCTTTTATTTAAATAATTTAAAATCAATTAAATACTACTTCACACATTTTAAACTATATCTGAGACCCTGACAAAATATTCGACAGCAAAACTGTCCCTCCAGTTTATTTGTGTCTGTGATCAAATACTTCAGTCCTGACCTCATATTCATC